CTGTCACAATAGACAACGTGGGCAGAAGTGTGCAGTTATAAGTCAATGAGTCTCAGTAAGCCAGTCACAGACCTGTGAGATTCAGGCAGATTTCTGGCTGCAAGTCCCAAGTTGAGCTCCCTGTCTTCCTGCAGGGTTGAACTATGCAAGGTTCTATTGCAGGTTCTAGCTGCCTTTCCCCTGAAGATAGTCCAGGTTCTGATGGGAGGTGATGGTCCCTCTAACTTACCAAACATGGTGGTCTAGTGTGCCTTTACTGCAGAGATTCTCTTCACTTTTCCAGTAGGCTTCAGTTATCAGGGAGCCTGAGAGAGGCCCTCTCTCTCTTGTTCACATCTGCAGCTCAGGACAATGGCCTTTATGTCCCCCTGTGCCTCTGTAGTGTGGAACCAGGTAAGCTGCACAGGGAAGAGGCCAGAGGTGGTGGTGGTGGTGGTGGGGCTTCCACGGGCGCCTGGTGGGCGTGCCCCAGGGGTCCTTACCAGCTCTGGGTTGCAAGTAGGTAGCCAGCCAGACAAAGCTGGGCTCAGTCAGTCCTGGGCGCTCTGCCCGCGTGGCTCTGCCCACGCGGCTGGTGGGTGAGCCTGGCGGTCCTTCGACCCGTTTATTTTATAGGTGAGCACAACAAAGACCGTCAGGGCTATGTGACTTTCTCAAGGTCACACAGTCAAAAATTATCCAATGAAATTGAGACTAATATCCAGATTTTGTTTTTCACTTCGATGCTTTTTCTAACTCATCATTTTTCTTTAATTTAAAAAATTAATAAAAATTGAATTAAAATGTACATAACAAAATTTACTGGTTTAACTATTTTAAGTGTTAACTTCAGTGACGTTAATTACATTTGCCTTGTGCAACCACCACAACCATCCATCTCTAGAGATTTTTTATCTTGAAACACTGAAACTCTGTACCCTTTAAACAGTAACTCTCCATTGCCCCCAGCCCCAGCCCCTGGCCAATACCATCTGCTTTCTGTCTCTAAGACTATGCTAAGGACCTTGTATGGGTGGAATCATACAGTGCTTGCTTTTTGTGTCTGGCTTAATTCCCTTGCAGTGTCTTCAAGGCACATTCATGTTATTAGAATTTCCTTCTTTCTGAAGGCTAAATAATACTCCATCTGTAGTGGTGCTTCTTTGAGACCATTTTAGGATCTCGATAGAGCGTCTTACTGCTAAGTAGTGTTCGAATTTAGAACAGCCTTCATCGCATTTCCCAAATAACCACTAGGGGTCAGTAAAAGACGCAGAAATTTTACCATAGGCCAAACGAATGCCAAGTAATCTGGCTGCTGTATCCTCTGTGTATCTCTTTCAACGGTCCATGCACACAGTTACAAGATAATGGATTTTACACACAGCAGCAACTTTGGATAAAACTAGAGATAACCATCAGCTGTAGCTCAAGTGCAAGTCTTCCTCACACTTGCTAGCATCAATGCATAGAGCTGCATTCAAGATGTTGGTTTAAGATTATATTTTTATTTACTTCACATTAGTCCAGTAATTCTCATACAGAGTACACATCACAATCACATGTGGTGCTTTTTCTTTTCTTTTCTTTTCTTTTTTTTTGGTACCGGAGATCGAACTTGGGTCTTTGCGCTTGTGCAGCAGGCGGTGAAACCACTGAGCTAAATCCCCGGCCCCTTGCTTTTTCTAAAATACACATGTCTAGATCTTAGTCAAGATCTATTAAATTCAGAATTTCTCCGGCTTGGGCTGTGGCCCAGATATATAGACTATTTTGATTCTGGTCCATGACTTCTAAGAACCAGTACATTAGTTCTTTACTCTAATAACCTGGGGTGGGGGGATGTTTTTTAGTTCCAAAATGGCCATGCTCAGCTGTCAGACTCCTCATATAACAATAAGATATTAAGATAGTCTTTCCTATGATAATCAGAAAAAGAGAACTTCTATCTTATCAAAGGTAAAAATGGCACAGCGAACTGAGGTGGGACCCTAACTTCCCCCCACCCCACCCCCGCCAGTTAGGGAAGTAGAAGCAAGCCAGGTCACCTCTCTAAGCCTCAGCTCCCCCTTTGAATTATGAAAGGATGTGATAGTGTTGATCTCCACAGATCTTTTCAGTTCTAAAAATTCAATGATTCTATTAGTATTAATAATCTTGATTTGTAGTTACTACTCTGGCAAAGAGCAGAAGAAATATGCAGTAATGCAGTGAATGACAGAGTCTATTGACCATGAGGTTTAATTTATTTAAGGCACATACACTGAATTCAAAGGAGAAAATATTGTTCCTGATGATGTATTGAACTGTTAGTATCTTCAGCATAGCAAAAGCTTTCCAGAGGGAAAAATTACCCATCAGTGCAAACTTGACATTTTTCACTTCCTGATCCATAACTGCCATTTGTCCAGCACCCTCATATTTACTATAAAGGGCCATGTGTATGAATGCTTTGGATGAATATTAAATAACTACATAAACGTCAAGGTCACAGTTGCAAGAGCGGCTTGGTGGAAGGCCCTGGGAGGCTTGCATTGATCTCTTGTGAAGTTCCATTCTCAAATCCTGCTGACAAGGGGGAACAATTGATGTGGACCATTATTAGGACTTTAAGTGTTTCGCCATTGTTAAAGATCTTTTACAAGCCTGGAATAACTGATAGTGCCCAAGGAATTGGCAAAAGCTTCACTTAGAAATATAGGCTGCTCAGAGAGATAAGTACAGCCCAGAGTGTAGATGTTCTGGGCAGGGCTTATGCAGCAAAGGTGGAGGCTGAGGGGAGCCTGTCACTGGGGCACATCTCCAACTCGGCCAGCACAGTCACAGCTCAGAACAGAACTCCACACCAGAAGTTGCAGAGAACATGGCTTCCTCTCCCTCTCTGTCTCCTCCTTCAGGTTTCCTCTGGGGGCCTCTCCCTTGGTGAGAACCTCCTGGCCTTTCAGTCCATCCATTCTCCACAGGTGCACAGAGCACCCCACAATGTCTGCCTGTCTCACCCCATTTTCTGTTGCTAGCACTGAATACCTGAGATTGGGTGATTTATAGACGTTTTATCTCCTAGGGTTCTGGAGGCCGGCAGGTCCAATATCAAGGTGGTGGCATCTGCTGAGGGCCTACTTGCTTCATCTTAACATGGTAGAGGGCATCACGTGGCAAGATAGAGCCAAAGTTTGCCAGCTTGGGTCTCCCTTCCTCTTCTTATAAAGCCATCAATGACCTCATCTAATTAATTCCCTCCTTAAAGGCCCACCTCCAAATACCACAGACATAGGAATTTGGAGATTAAGTTTCTAACATGGGCTGGGGATGGGGCGGTGTTCAAACCATTTCATGGAGAAATTGGGTGTATATGAACTATGTCCAACAACAGGTCAAGACCTGGACTGGTCAAGTGCCTGTAATTAATTGTGGGAGTATTCTGCTGACCCGGAGCTGGGAGGAGAGCAGATATTGTGGATGACAGGCTTTAGTTTCAAAAAGATGTCAAGAGACTGAAGGATTGGCCAAGTTGCTAGATGAGCTTAATAATGAATGTAAATGATAAAACCCACATTTCCTGTGAACTAGCTAAATTTTTTGGTATTGTTTGGCCCTCCACATGTTTCAGTTTATCTCAACTTTATAATGGCCTAATGAGGCTAGGACTTTATGTCCTTCTATTAAAACTGAGACCTGATAGTATGGAGAATGGTACAAGTGCTGTAGAGTCATCATCCATCTAAATTTTAAGCCCAGTTCTGCCTCTCAGTTAGCTGGCAAATGACTTTAGCAGTAAGATAGCAGTAGCTAGGCTTCGGGTTGCTTTGTACATGTCAGGTTCTGTGTGCCTAGCCTGTTGCATGTATTTTCTCATTTAGTCAGGTTGACTAAGTGGCAGGACCAGGGTTTGAACCCAGAAAGTCTGACACCAACACTCAACACTTGTAACAATGGCTGCACCCTCTGCATGTTCTCCACTGTAGAGGGGACACCATGTTTTCTCAGAGGATTAGGTGAGACAACTTATGTAAAGTGCCTAGTAAAATACCTAGCACATAGTAGGCACTCACAAATGGTATTAGAACACCACTGTTATTATTTACATGACTTTTTCAAGGGTTTAGCTAATAACTGGAGAAACAAGATTTGAACTCAAGTCTTGTGACTGCCAATTTAGTGCACTCTTAATTCTCCCTGGAGCACAATAGACAATTCTTATGTCACTATCTCAGTGCCATCTGCATGGGACAGGGATCTACTCATCCACCAGATGTTTGCCAGGGTCCTGCTGTTTTGGGGAACCTCAGAGGAAAAGGGAATCATGCTAATCATTCTTTTCCCCTTTCTCAGGTTCAAATGGTGAAAGATGGCGACCCCTCCTGGAAGCCCACTTTTATTGTGAAACCTGATGGCGGTTGTCAGGGTGATGGTATCTACCTCATTAAAGATCCCAGTGACATCCGGTTGGCTGGGACCCTCCAGAGCAGGCCAGCAGTGGTCCAGGAATACATCTGCAAACCTCTCCTCATCGACAAGCTCAAGTTTGATATTCGTCTGTATGTCTTGCTCAAGTCCTTAGATCCCTTAGAAATTTACATAGCCAAAGATGGACTTTCTAGATTTTGCACTGAGCCATATCAGGAGCCCAATCCCCGAAATCTGCACCATGTCTTCATGCACTTAACCAACTATTCACTGAATCTCCACAGCAGCAACTTCATCCATTCGGACAATGCTAGCACAGGCAGCAAAAGGACTTTTTCCAGCATTCTTTGTAGGCTGTCTTCCAAAGGTGTTGACATCAAGAAAGTCTGGTCAGACATCATCTCTTTGGTGATTAAGACTGTCATTGCCCTGACTCCAGAGCTCAAAGTGTTCTATCAGTCCGACATCCCCACAGGGAGGCCAGGACCCACCTGCTTCCAGGTAACCACTGCTAGCTCCCACTGGAGTCCCCAACCTTGACCAGGCCTACAGAGGGCCCTCTGGCCTTATATGGGATGACAGATGGGGTGGGATGGCAAAAGGTTGGGATCAGGTGGTGGCCAGCATGGGCTTTGGTGCTAAAACCTGGCTCAACTCTCATCTTTCTATTTATTAGCTGTATTATTCAAGCTACTTCCCTGCTGTTATCTGTAAAATGAGACTAAAAATATCTGTCTGAAAGGTTTCTTTTAAATGTTTAGTGAGATAGCATATGTAAAAGAGAATGCCATCCACTTATCCAACAATTTTTACCACCTGCTTTGTAGGGATCAGGTATTGTCCTAGGTACCAGTGAGACCATAGGTCAGGTCCCTGCTGGCGGATGCACGTTGGGAGATAAATCCTTTAAAAAGCAATGATTACATTTTGATCCTTATTTATACTTTTAGTTTTTTTACACCCAAGAAACTATTCGGTATTTACACATGTGTGTCGTATTTATTTCACTTAAGAGTATGGCCTCAATGTGCATCCATTTAGCTATAAATGTCTCTAGTTTCTCGTTCTTTATGGCTGAGTAGTACTCCGTTTTATTAAAAAAACACATCTTTACATCTTTATCCAGTCTCCAGTTGATGGGCACTTGGGCTGTTTGCAAGCTTTAGCTGTTCCGAACTGTGCCGCTATGAACATGGGTGCACGTATGTTGTTGTGGTATGTGGTTCTTTTAATTCTTTGGGGAAGATCCCCAGTAGAGTGTGACAAGTGCCAGGATCGAATAGAAAGTGCAATGGGTGCTATGAGATGCTGGAACCATCTGGCACTTTGGATGGCAGTGGAGCAGGCAGGGAAGTCTCCCTGGAAGAAGTGGCAGCTAAGTTGGAGCCTGAAGTGAGAGGAGGCACAGATGAGACTGGACCGGGGCAGGGCGACAGGTGCTGTAGGCATAGGCAAGTTTTAGCCCTGGAGGTCACAGGCAATCATGGTGAGTTTGAGGCACTAATAGGGGTTCATTATGGTTGGAAGGTGAGGTTGGAGGCACAGAAGTGTCGAGAGAGATTCAGGAAGGTGGGGTGGGGGAGGGAAGTAGGACCAAATTGTTGAAAGCCTGAGGGCACTGGGATCACCAGAGGGTTCCAAGCAGGGGACAGACTGCATTAAAATTTGCATGTTCTAAAGAACCAAGGGCCTGCAGGGAGGAGTATGGATTGCAGCAAGGCTGGGCACCCAGAGATACATAGTGAGGCAATGGCTTTCATCCAGGCAAGAGAGGAGGCTGGCTTTGAATAAGAAGGTCTAGCAGAGATTGGGGAAATGGACAGATCTGAGTGCCACTTGAGGAGGAGGAATGCCAGACTTGGTGACTGGATGGGACTGGGGGAGAGAGAGGTGAAAGTGGTATGAAGGAAGGGAGGAAACGAGGCTGGCTTGCAGGTGGCTTGGACAGTTGAATGGATACATAGAGGCCACTGGAAGGGGACCAGGCTTGTGGGGAGAGGTCAGGATTTGGACTTGAAGTGTCCACTTGACACCCAAGTAGACAGGTTGAGTGGACAATTGGATAATCCATTTGGCTGGAGTTCAGGAGAGCAGTCTGGACTGGACAGGGAGATGGGAACTCACCAGAGCTCAGGTTCTGAGTGAAGACATGAGAAGCTGTAGGATGAGAAGAGGCTGGAGAGGACCACTATGTAATTAAAGTACAAAGGAGGGGGAGCAGCAGAGGAGCCACGAAGTGGTGCGTGAGATATAGAAAGGGAGCTGGAGGAAATGCCGAAAGCACCAAGGAGGTGCCTCAGAGAGGATCTTCAAGAGGATCTTCAAGGATCTTCAGAGAGGATGCAGGCAGGGCCAGCTACTTCAAATGCTGCCAAAATGTTGAGCAAGATGCATGCTGAAACCATCCATGCTGATCACTAACAAGTTACTAACGACATCAGCAACAACTGTCTTCAGCAATGAGGGAGGGAAGGGAATGGAGAACGAAGGTAGGTCAAGGATGTCAAGATGGACAGGCAGGGGACATAGAGGCCAGGTGCCCAGTAGACACATGCTCTCTGTCACCAGAAAAATCAGAACAGGGAAGAGAAGACAAGAAGGGCAACTCTAAGACCCTGTCCACCTATTCTTTAACATTGTTTCATAGCACTTGATAGATACAGGTATGGGAGGGATAATGGATCCTGCTTGAAGCCATAAAGCAGAACAAAATGATCATCCCTGACCCATCTCCCAATCCACGGTCTCTAGTTTGTTTCCCTCCATCCCATTTCCCTATGCCCACCCATACAAGGAGTATTCTAAATTTTATGTTTACCAATTTCTTACTTTTTAAAAATAGTCTTATTATGTATAAATATGCTCCCAAATGATATATGGTCTTCTTTTGCTTGGTTTTGAGTTTTATAAAAATGCTGTTAGAAAGTATGTCATCTTCTGCCACCTTCTTTTCTACCTCATGCAATATTTCAAAAGCTCACCCATGTGGATGGGGTCATGGGTCCTCATACATGTGCACCATTGTGTATACTGTTGTAAATATGCATGGTTCCTTGATCAGTTCTTCTGCCAGGTAATGTCTGGGTGTTTCCAGCCTACAGTGGGATGGTAACAGGCAGAGTGGGACAAGAGGTGAGGAGAGAGGGTGTAGGGAATGTTTCCCATGGAGGGGGTGTTCATTCACCGGGAGGTGGAACTGGTCCTCAAGTGCTGCTTCCAGGCCAGAGAGGTACTCGAGGACTGGGTACCACTTGGGAGGACCTCCTGAAGCCTTTGGAGAGGGATTCAGGCAGTGATCAGGATCAGGAGGGGGTTGTTATCATCCAGAGATCTGCTCGTGGGCACTTGGACCCCAGGCTTTTGTTCCCAGGCAGGATGTCCAGCTAGTTTGAGATGTTGTAAAGAGTAAGTGAGCAGAACTTAGAGGCAGGGCCAGAAAAAACAAATCTTGACCTGTGCTACCAAAAAGCAAAGGCAAAGGGGACAGTTGCAACGTGGACACATCCAATGGTCACTTTGGGGGACTGTGTGGTCGCATCTGTTTGACAGCCACAGCTATTCCAGGATTATCATGTGGGCCCTGGCAGGAATGGCCAAGCCACACCACCCTGGCACTGTCAGAGTGGCAGTGGGGAGGGCCAGACTGGTTGTTTGCTGCTCGGCTTGCTGTGGACAAGCTGCATGGGCAGCTGTCAGAGTGGAACCTGGGATCACGCTGTGGGAGCTGGAGGGCAGACAGAGAGGGACACTGGTTTGGACATTCTGTGTCTGGCAACCAGAACCACAGCCTTGTGACCATTTTCCACTGCTTGACCACACTAAATGCTTCCAAGAGGAATGCAGAGCTAGAAGCAAAGGTCTTTCCAACTGTATGACCTTGGACGGGTTTTTTTGCCACCCTGCACCACTGTTTCTCTCTCTGTAAGCCACCTACACTAACTTTCCTATCTGTCTTTGTAGAAGTAGGATGAAGCAATGTAAGCGAAAACACTTTGATCAGGTGCAAAGTTGTAGATGTAGTGATCTGTTTTACCATGCATTTCAGATGCACAGTGATAGTGAGAGAAAACATCTTTCCCTCCTTGGAGATCTGTCTTGGTTTCTTCTTCTCACTTGTTGGAACAATGTTAGTAGAGTTTCAGATCCCTTGCACTCACTTGGTTTAAACAAAGGTTTCTTGACATGGTACAGTTTTGCCATCAATTTTCTGTGTATTCTTGCATAAATCACTTGTCTGTGCCTCGGTTTCCTCACCCTCCTCACAGGGTTGCTGTCCAAATAGAATGAGATAAAGATGGCAAGGGGCTTTGCAAATCATAATGCTCTGCACAGATACAATAAATTGTTGTGTGGCACCTTTCGCTTGTAGCCTGGGCCTAGCCAGAGGCTGCATTCCAGAACATAAACTTTAGCCAACAAAATTACATTCGTTTTAAACATGTGACGGTGACCCCTTTTCAATCGTAGCCACAATAACTACTTGGGAAAATGTGATGGCTCCCAGGAGTGGCTGGCACTGCTCAGGCTGTGGCAGGCTTCCTGTAATCTGTTGCCCGGGAACAAGGCTGCCCTGTCATTCCAGCCTGTGCCCTGTCATTGCCCAGGCAGGGTCAGCAGAACATATCCTCACACCCATCCTCTTGAGGGCAGCGGTGTGACCTAGGCTTAAACAGCAAGGTTTAACTGCATATAGATGACTCATGTGGCAGAAATACACACACAGAGGAAAGGGTTTAAGCTCAGCTTTCAAGAACATTCTTTCCCCTTCCACGGCGTTGTCTGGATCTTCTTCTTGGCTCTGTGTCTAATTCTGTCCTTGGCTGTGACCTTTTTCCTTAGGCGTCTGAAGGAGATGACTTCCCTGTGTCCTAAGATATTACTGTTGTCTTCTCTCTGCTCTTTGTGACCTCATCCTTACCCTGCAGCCCAGACACCCCACAGGGAGGAGGCCAAGAAGCAGTATAGTGGTCAAGGGCTTTGTTTTGTTCTCACATGCCCTGGATTTGAGCTATTCCAGCTCCCCTCTTCCAGCACCTCTAGCCGGTGAGTTCTGCAAGATAACTTTTCTTAAATTTTGGTTTCCTTGCCTGTAAATAGAGGGAATATTTGCAGCCACCTCTGAGAGCTGTTGTAAGCTCAGATAAGAGAAAGCTATGTGGAACTGTTAACATGATATCTAGCACACAGCCATCATTTAATAAATGATAGTTTTTGTGATTATCACATTGTTTATTATAACAATAGTTCTCAAACCTATGAGGTTTGAAGTTATAGGAAATCATGAAATATTCACATTTTAAACTTTACTGGAACGTGGGTATTCCAAGTCCTTAGCCTGGGATTTGTTACCTCGCAGCCTGGCCCCAGTCGAATATCCCTGTTCCCCATCCGAGCCCTCAGTCCTACAAAACATAGCTGATTCCTCTCTCTTGGGTAGCACTGGTGCTTTCCCAGTCCTGCCCTCTGTTCTCTTCTGTCCTGGCCCAGCTAAATCTTCTTTC